TTCGTGTCGGCTAGTGGCAGCAGTTGGGAACGGCTTCAGCAGCCAGCACCGACAAGCAAACAAAACAATCACACAACCAACCAAACAAACAAGCAAGCAAGCAAACCAGCAAACGGTCAAACAAATACAAACAAACACACACGCACACACACACACAACCACACAACCACACTCACAGACAACCACACACGCACGAACGCACGTTTTTTTCCCCAACCATGAGTGAGCAGCATCCTTGTTTGAGCCAGCTCATGCTTAGAGCATAAGATAGAAGGCATTGTAGACACCGGCTTGCTCCTTTGCCCGAGCCAGGCAGGAAAGCGGGGCATCATCGTTGGAGGCGCTTGCTCTGTCTGCCGCAACCGCTGGTGGCTGCCCTGGCATGTTCAACTGTCACAGCTGCAAAGCGCGGTGCAGGCTGGGCCGAGCTCTCCGAGGAGCGCTGCGCCCAGAGGACTCATGGGGTGGAGGGGTTCTTTTTGCGGGCTGTTCTGACAGAGCTGCGCTGGCTGCGGGATGGGCACTGTGAAAGCTGTTGAAAAGTCATGATTCTTGATCAGGGACCTTCTGAGTCACAGTCATCAGTTTCACTAGTCACTATTGAATGCTATTGACACGACAATGGCACTCTATGCCCGCAGTGTGGCTTCAAATGGGTTTGGCCAGCAGCCTATTAGTCAACTTATTAGGCGTCTTGGACATGAGCTACTTTGGCACCGGGCTGCAAAGGTCAGATTTGCATGTGCAGTAGAGGGGTTTCGGGAAGGTGCAGCAGGGGCTTTAGCCATGGCTTGAGGATGCAGAAGGCTTGGTGCAAACCTCACCAGTCTGGGCACAGGAACGCCAGCAGGTTTCAAACCTCAGAAGAAGAGAACTGCATGGAGCAGGTGCGCACTGTGCTTTGCACATTGAGTCGATCAGAGCATGATCGTGGCTTCCTAAACGCAGCGAAGTTTGTCAAAAAGAAACAGGTGCAAAAACACGCTACTGGAGACCCCCTGCTGCTCTTAGCCGTCATGTTCCGTCCAGATAGATTTGTCACCATTGACTATCCAGTCTCTAGCGCGATTGGTGCTGAGCTTGTTTTCTGGTCCTCCCAGACAGAATGAGGGAGCCTTGTTGCTCATTCACCGGTGTGCGCATTTGCCAGATGCTTCCAGGAGCCTGGATTGCTCCCAGCTTGTACTGAGGTCCTTGGGTGGCGATGAGCATGAAGAGCTGAAGGCCTGGCGGCCCGGTTGCGAAAAGCTTTCCTCTCGTTGCTATGGAGCTGGGCCTTGCAGCTGTTGCGCTGCTTTGTTGGTTTCGCTTGATTTGTGCCATTGACAGGGGTTCCCAGTCTGGTCAAGGCTTGGGACCCAGGTGAGAAGTGGGAAGCCTCCCTTGCGATATGTGTGATGGAGCTCGTGCCGTTTTGGCATGATGGACGCGATTAGCTTGCAGAAATGAAGCTGCAGATATTGAATCTGGTGATGCAAGTGATTCACCCCTCACCGAAGAAACCAAACGACAAACATGCTCGACGTATGGAGCAGGCCAAACCGTATTCAAGTTCGGGAGACGCAACATGCATGTGCGTCGGCCACGAGGCGTTCAGCCGCAACAACGTGTTGTTCCTCAAGGCCGGGTAGCACGTGTGGATCTGGGGCTTTGCTGAGTAAAGATGTCATGCTTGGAAGGGACATGCTGAGCCTCGGAGAGTGATGTGATGTGCCAGTCTGCTCCGCATGAGTGGCTCTTCCCGCAAATGGCGTGCTGTCGCCTCAGCAAGAATGATCGCCCCCCGATGGTGTATGCACTTGCTCCGGAATCCCAGTCTGCAGTTGCGGTAGCCAACATGCCACCCATCCAAATCGGCAATTTAGGGCAACCTGATAACACCTTTGCTTTGAGACGCCAAGGTGCAGCAGGGTTGTCATCTTATCTTGGGTCCAGCTCTGGCGGCGTCTAGGCTGCGTTCATCACGGCGGAATTGGCACCACACAGGCATGGATGGGCAGCTTGCGCACCAACCTGATTACACCTGAGGTTGTGGACAATTCAGGCTTTCTTGCATTTGAGAAAGGACCTTGTTTGCAGAATCTAGCTGAAGGGCGGTCCAGCCCATATCATTCAGAAAGGGCAGGGAGTTCACCAGTGCCGCCCTACCCAGGCATCCGCCTCTCAGCTTGAATGTTGAACTCTTGATGTGCAGGCAACCGCTTACTCTAACGTCATGCCTGAGAATCTCTAGGTGACAGCAAGTGTTGCCACGGGTTTTTGAGACATGGAGGCATTTCTACCACCAAAGCAAGCTCGTCAGGCAGTATCGGCCACTGTACAAGTGGTATGGTGAACAACCTCCACACCTTCAGAGCCCTCTTGCCTGAAAATATCCTTGAAACTGCTGGCAGGATGTAAGGCTCAGAGGAATGGTTGCTAACCGTGTCACGGGTGAATTCGGTGTCGCAGGCATCCCTTAGCGCCGGAGTGCCAACGGTTGTCACCCCGGTCTTTTCGGACCAGGCCTTGCCGGGCCAAGTATACCTGGGGTGGAATTGGGAGTCGAACACAAAGCAAATCGCTGCCCTATGGTAGGGCCCAGCTCCAATCATGTTGCGCTGAGCGTCTTATATGTGTTGGCAAGATGCCAATGCATGACTGGGCACATGGCAGCAGAATGGCAGCAGATTGGCTTGGGGCAAGTATGCCTTTTGTGTTGATGGGCGCCAGCTTTTCTCCAGTTGTCATGTAAACTTCTGCACCGGCCTGCAGAAAGACATCGGGGAGAAGATGAACCGGGATAAGTGCGGGGGCCAAGTGGTGGAAGATTGCCGCAAGTCCAGAAGCTAGATCTTCATCCTGTGTAGCGTTCAGGCTGCGAGTTGTTCCTAGGGTGCAATGGCCTGCGAAAGCTGTACGCGCACAGCAAAGTTCTAGCAGGATGGCAATCGGATTTCGCTCATGCTTGCAGCCTCGCAGAGCACCCTCCCACATGGGAGTTTGTTTCATGTTCTGGATTCCGATAGTCATCGATTGCAACAAAGGAAAGCGCTCCGGCCGGTATACGGAGAAAGCAATTCAAGGAACACCCGTGCTGCCCTTGTAGTTGTTGCAACGGGACTCCCGGACTTGAATGCCCAACAGCAAGTATGTGGCCTTATCAGAAACCATCCGGAGAATACGGCAAAACTATAAACCAACATGCCTCAATGTGCCAACAACGTATTTTACTGGAATATCGCCGGTAATCGGTAATACTGTTTCACAGATTCTGTGGGAGCATGTCCACCGGCCCTACCAAAGGAGCTATGACTTCCTCTAAGGAGCTTTTGGGAAACCGCAAGGACCAAAGTTCTGGCCAACTCAGGGCGCAGAAATCAGACCCGGCGGGTGCGTGGAGCTGCTAAATAGGCCCTGCAAACCTGGAACAGCTAAGCAAAGTTCTTGCAAATGGGCTGGGTCACGTGGTTGCAAGTGAATGAGCCAACGTGGGCAAATGGAAACAAATGGATCAACGCCCATGGACCCCTCCACCATCAAACCCCGTGTTGTCCCCTTGAGACGCGACCGAGGACTGGCGCAGGCACTTGCCACCTTTCGCAGCTCACAGCCAAGGAGCTGGGCGTCCGGCGCCAAAGCTTGGCCCAGTTCGAAGCGAATGGACTTTGGTCAGTTGGTTGGTTTGGTGACTTAATAGTTGGTGTTCTGTCCATCCGGGATCCTCAAAAACATGCGATGACACGCCTGCGATGCTTCTTCTGAGTGACATGCTATGCAATAGGCTAGCATCTCTCGCTTGTTGCAAGCAGCCGCTGGTCGCTTCATGCTTGTGATTAGACACGCCTTTGGCTTCTGCTCTTAGGCGCGGATCAAGAAGTGCTGCGAAGTGCCAGCCCCAGCTCAGCAAACGCTTGGCTGGGGATTCAGTTTGGGAATTGGCCGAAGGGTTGGCTTCTTACCAGTCTTTCGGAAGGGTCCCAATCTTAGCGGCAAGTTTCCTTCAGAAAGCATTGGCAAGCCATGGGGCTCACAAGCCTCGGCAGCTGACCCCGAGGCGGTTGTTCCAATTGATCGTAAGTAGATTGAAGGCGACCTAGTGGACACCCGCCTTGAAAGGGTGCCGCAGTTTGGCGAGGGAGGGAGGGAAAATTATGAAGAGGCCATTGCGGGGTCTGATCAAGTCACGTGCAGTGCGCTGAGGATCCCACGATCTTGTCAAACTGCACAAAGCTTGCAGAGAAGATGCAGAAGGACGAGTGGCCCAGGGGCGATGCCAGCGGCTTTTGCCATGTGGAAGGCATGGCTGGAACTGCTTGTGGAGGGTGTTTGACGCCAGGAGGACGGTGTCAAGACAACTGTGGAGTTCGTGGAGGGGTACATGAAGGAGCAGGCAGGCATCATGAGAACCAGACATGAAGCCTTGTGCTGGAGCTTGTAGTCCCTTGTAAACAGGCCGTCTCTAAGGTTCCCGGATTGGGTGGGGGGATGCATGAAGCTCAGGGAGAAGAAGCTGATACATTGTGTTGTTTTTGGGCTTTGTTGTCAAGGCCGAGCTGCCTTGCCTAGCATACCGTCATTGTGCCTGACACAATCTATATAGTCGTTGATATCCAATTCGGTTTGTTTGGGACTGTGACATTTGCCTGGCGCGGTGGCCGCATTCGCGTCATCATCAACCAGCAGTTCGGGATCAACTGTGCCAACGGCTTGACATGATTTCTCGCCACCTAAGCATGGGCACAAGGGCACAAGAGGGGGACAGCCCATGAAACAGGTTGCATCCGGCGAGTGGAAGAAGAAGCGCGACGCCTTGATAGATAGGCGCGCCCTGGCACTTCCCGGGCCTGAGGGGCCCCACCTTGCATTACCTCACCTATCCCAAACACATTAGGGAAAGCACCTGGCCAAATACTTGCAGAACATGGTACTAGCAGGGTTGTTGTGCAAAAAACATGCACACACTTTGGGATATGGGCAGGAGTTTCTTCAAGTGATGCCAGGCTTACACTCGACTTGTGAAACGGGATCTGCTTGGACCCTGTGGACCCTGTGAGAGATTTTGGGCGTCCTGTGCACAGCAAATGGCCTCACCCGTCATCCGAGAGCCGCAGTGGAGGCTACAGAAGGCGCATCAGAAGTTCAAGAAGCTCTCAGATCCTGCTCAGGCATGGTTGGTCCCTTGCATGGGCTCATTGGAAGCAAGATCCTGCGGCCTAGTCAACTCTTGTTTTGGCAGATCTTCGCGAAGTGGAACATGGACCTGGCAGAAAAGTACCCGCCCATGGCAGCGCGCAGCCCCAGCTGGGAGCAGATAGGAGGCCCCCTGAACGATGGAAGATGCGTTGTTGAGTTAACGTGGCAGCATATGCGCACCGCCACAAGTCTCGAGTCTTTGGTGCACGTCACGTGCAACTTTGCAAGGATCCGTGCATTTCCCATTTCGGAAGGATCAACGATTGCAGGTTCATGGCCGCTAGAAAGAGCTTCCCTTAAGTGATGCTATGCTTGCGCAGGAATTTCTTTGAGTACACTCACAAAATGACCAGCGAACTGCTTGGGCTTCGGCTTGTGGTCCTGAGGCATACATGCAGGACCAGGTGGAGAGATACGGCAAGATGACAGACGTTTTGTCCAAGAAGAAGCTGTGGTGCGCCACAGTTTTCCTCATGCCACAACTTGTGCAAGGACACATCTTCTTTCAAAGCTGTGTTGCGACCCTGTGTCAGGATGAGCCATCCCAATTAGATAGTGTGAGCAAACTGAACAACAGGGAAACGATGGGAAGTGAACAAACACGACAGTTTGGATCCCGACTCGCAAATTCTCATACTGATCCTTCCCGCACGCGTTTCGAAAGGCATGAAAAGGACTATCAGCACCGAGGCCAAGATGGAACCAGCAAAGATTTGTTTATCGAAAGGACGGTCAGCTCGAAGCCCCAGGTATGTGAAGTCCTCTAGCGGCTGCCTTGCGAGAAAGGGGGAGGTGCCTCGTTTGCATGCCCTGGTTTAAACAAAGGGCGGCTGTAGGCTCGAAAAAGACGAGACTCTGAGTGTAGATGCAGCTGGTCAGCAGGGACTGATGCCAAGCAGAACTTGTGGACAGGCCTTGAAGTCAGATGAATGTGGGCGGTACAAGGAGCTGCTGTGCATTTGTGGTCTGGCATGCAACATAAGGTGCTGAAAAAACAACTAGATTGAACAGACTGACATAGGTCCGTCATCCCATAATTTTCAGCGCAAGACACGAAACAAGCACGGGTGAGCAGCATCCCACACATTTTGGGATGATTTGTGGAACTTTATTTTGCGCTTTTCCCGCATGTCTAAAAACGTGTCTTGCTGGATTTCCACTCGCGCACACTGCTCCTCAGGAGTACGCCGTTCTGGAGGACTGCTTCAGATTCGCGGGACGAAGCTTCACAGGTTCTGGGCAGCGCAATCCACGTGCGTGGATGCACCGCCAAAAGGGGCGCCAAAATATTACTTAGATGCGCCCTGCAAAATATCTAAACAACGCAGCATTTGCATTTTGCAACGTGTTCGGCAAAAGCGTGCCACTGAACCCAAGCAAAAACCTTAAACTCACTTTTTTGAGCGATTTTAGCCGTTTCAATGACGAACATCGAGTGTTGTGACTGGGGATCAGTTAGCCCCATTTGCCAAAATCACACAAAACAAACACTGTGTTTCCAACGTTTTCGACAAAATGACGCTCCGTAGCGTCCCGCAACGCATTGAGGTCAAGTTCATTGGCATGGAAGTGTTGTGCGGTTGCGTATGTGGACCCGGCGGGATGTTGCCCTTTGGCTACAATCATGCAAGCGTGCAGCATATGCAAGCGGAGCTTGCCAAAACTCCCCGCAAGGTTTAATTCACTAGGGTTTCGTGGCCTACTGGTGTTCATTGCCCCTCAGAGAGGCTTCGTGCCAAAAGGCCCACAGGTAGACCTTACTTTGGCCGTGAGTGCTCTTGCTCTCGCATTTCGGCTTCGGGCAGCTAGTTCTCCGACCGCGAAAAGCATTTTGTAGCTGCTTTGTTTACGAGCCATGGGATGCTCAGCAAGCGAGTTCGAGGCTCCAAACAGGAGTGGGAAGGAGATGGAGTACAGCTTCGATGGGAGCGAGGCAGACCGATCAGTGCAGAGCCTTTCGGTTTTGGGCACGGCTCCTGTTTGATTTGTGTTTGGCCAAGTTGAGCCTTAATGCGCTGGGTTATCGGTTATCTCCCGCTGTTGCATTTGTTTTAGTGTGGATCGTGCATGTGTCAGCTGTGGTCAAGTTGAGTGAGTCGGCCCACGTCATTCAAGCTGACATGCCAGGCGAACCAACAGACGGAGGCATGGGGAAGCATCGACCCCACAAGCAGCTGGAACGTGACACAGCGCCCCACTGCTCCTGTAGCAGTTTTCCTTGCCCCAGACAAGAAGATGCACGACCGTCACCTGAAGAAGTTGGACAAGTTCCGGCAGGAGAGGAGGTTCTCCCAGAGAGACGGCCCATGATGCCCCCCTTTCGCTTGCCAAGGCACTGAGAGGCTCATGCAACTGTGTGTGTGTGTGTGAGGGTGCGTGCGTGCGTGCGTGCGTGCGTGCGTGGGCGTGGGTGGTTGCGTGGGTGCGTGGGTGCGTGGGTGCGTGGGTGCGTGGGTGCGTGGTGGGGGTGTTGGGGGTGTTGGGGGTGTTGGGTGTGTTGGGTGTGTGTGGGTGTGTGTGGGTGTGTGTGGGTGTGTGTGTGGGTGTGTGTGTGTGTGGGTGTGTGTGTGTGTGTGGGTGTGTGTGGTACGTGCGTGCGTGCTTGCGTGTGTTGTCTCTGTGTCTCTGTGTCTCTGTGTCTCTGTGTCTTTTTGCCTCTGTGTCTCTGTGTCTCTGTGTCGCTGTGTCGCTGTGTCTCTGTGTCTCTGTGTCTCTGTGTCTCTGTGTGTCTGTGTCTCTGTGTCGCTGTGTCTCTGTGTGTCTGTGTCTCTGTGTCTGTGTGTCTGTGTGTCTTTTTGTCTCTGTGTCTCTGTGTCTCTGTGTCGCTGTGTCGCTGTGTCTCTGTTTCTCTGTGTCTCTGTGTCTCTGTGTCTCTGTGTCTCTGTGTCTTTTTGTCTCTGTGTCTCTGTGTCTCTGTGTCGCTGTGTCGCTGTGTCTCTGTGTCTCTGTGTCTCTGTGTCTCTGTGTGTCTGTGTCTCTGTGTCGCTGTGTCTCTGTGTCTCTGTGTCTCTGTGTCTGTGTGTCTGTGTGTCTTTTTGTCTCTGTGTCTCTGTGTCTCTGTGTCTGTGTCTGTGTCTCTGTGTGTCTCTGTGTCTCTGTGTCTCTGTGTCTCTGTGTCTGTGTGTCTCTGTGTCTCTGTGTCTGTGTCGCTGTGTCTCTGTGTCTCTGTGTCTCTGTGTCTCTGTGTCTGTGTCTGTGTCTCTGTGTCTCTGTGTCTCTGTGTCTGTGTCTCTGTGTTTGTCTCTGTGTCTCTGTGTCTCTGTGTCGCTGTGTCGCTGTGTCTCTGTTTCTCTGTGTCTCTGTGTCTCTGTGTCTGTGTGTGTGTTTATCCGCGTGCGAGTTGGGGAACACAACGCGATCATTTGATCCATCAATAGCTGATGCTCGGCTTTCCAGGATGTGGAGAGGGATCCTAAGAGCCTCGCACGCAGAATCGAGAGCAAGCGCAAGGCGGCAACCATGCGAATCGCCCCAGCCTAGGCGCGCTCGACCCTTTCCGTATCCATTCCTTTGACTGGCATGGCTGTGCCCGCTGCGCCCGAAGCCTTTCCATTTCTGTCAGCCAGAGAGTGTAACAGTCAAAGGGGCCGCTTCAACTTCCCATAAACTTGAGTCATGGAAACGCGAGCGCTCCAATTTGGCTAGGCAAAGCACAGCCAGGCTTCATGTTGTGGCAAGTCTTCAAGCAGTATGCTGCGCACACACACACGACAATAATTCCTGGACTGCATTTTGTGGCCAGTGCACTGCCAGTGAATCTAGAATTGTAGAATGACTATGCTTCCCATTGCTGCAGTCTTGTGATGTATTACCAGCGGGTGGTTGGCCACCCGGAATATCAAGAACAGCCCCGTGCGGTGCATGCGCACGAGCTGATTGTCCGGGTGCCGCATGGCACGGGAGGCTCACGATTCGCGAACGCATGACTCGCCGTCAAAGAAAACCGGGTTAACCCTTAAACTCTCACAGGGAGAAAAGCCAATGATTTGCTGTAACGCTGATTGAACGTCGCTACGTGGCTTCCACCGAAAATACATGAATAGAGCATCAAGACGTAGGTGTTTGGCCTGAGTCGCCTTCCTGCTGAGACAGCCAAGCGTTTCGGGTACACAGTCAAGGCCTTCAACATAGAAGCATGAGACGTGCATGACATTGTTTAGCATGCTGCAAACTGGCTGGACTGTTTCCCCATGCTTCTGTTCGAGCATTGCCTGCTCAATCCTTGCATGTTCAGCAGACACTCTGCCATTTTAGCCACCCCGCACGATTTGCTTGCCCGTGTGCGATAGCAGCGCGCGTGCAGCATCCGCCGGGGTGCTGCGACTTGCCTGTTCGAGACATCACGAATACATCAGGAGATTTGCCTGCTGGCTGGTTGAGCTGCCTGTCCCAATCCGAAGTTTCATTGTACAGACTCCACAGACAGGAACGCGCAGGACAAAGGAGCTCAGAGCACTTGCACGTGGGAACCTTGTGTTGTTCGATATTGTTGGCTTGCACTGTTTACACACCTTGTTCATGGCGAGCTTGCCTAGGCAAGCTTTGGATCCCTTGGTAGCCGACCCTAGGCACCACTGACACAGGAGGCTTAGAACAGAAGAAGTGCAAAAGCAGCGCTAATGAAAAGGAGGAGGCTGAGGGTCACAATCTTTGCCCAACCCTTAAGCCTCGAAATTATACTTTTACACGTTTTAACTTCCTCTTTTGCGCGGTCGCCTAAGTTTGAACTGAAATGTCAGAGCAATCTCAACAGAGCCTCAGTAGGGCTGCTCCTAGACTTTGGCTGCAATAAGCCCTCCTCAGCAAGAGTAGAGGAAGCTTCAGCATGGGGCTCGGCCACAAAAGCAGTCAGCTTCTACTCTAAGCTTGCGGCTGTTGATGACAATGGCTGGTGATATGAAGGCCAAATTCAATGCCATGAATCCATGGTCAAGAGGCAAATTGAATGGACCAGTGCTGATTTGCACAAGTCTCTTATTGAGAGAGAAACCTACCGTAACCTACCCTGACGCAATACCACCTCAACTAGCCCCCACTTTTGCTCGACCAAAACTACACATGTCAAAAATAGCAATTGAAGCTTAAAAAAGATTCAATATGGGCACTCGAGCGGTTTTAAGCCTAAACAAGCCTGTTTTGACCGGACAAATGATGTATGAAGACGTCGATCTGGTGGCAACTCCCTTTTCAAACACAGTCAAAGCTTTCTGCAATGGAGGCTCGGGTTGCAGCGCAGGAGGTGGGAGCCAGCAAAAATGGAAGCAGACTTCATGTTCGGCGCTTGAAGGGAATAGGTTCTGGCCTCGGCTTGCTTGAGGGTGTTGTCGAGAGTTTGGTCTTGTGCAGTGTGCCTGGTTTTGGTTTTTCAGTGTGGAATGCAGCAAAAGCAGACTGCTCAGCACAGCTCTCAGCAGTCGTTTGGCAATCCGTCAGCTGTGGCTGACAGATCGTGGGATGCTTTGTTTCAGCATGTCAGGTCCAGAGGAAGGCTGGGTGTCACCTGTGGTGTCTGGCAAAGACATCGTGGTGAAGGCAGGGCAGACAGATCTTGATAGCCAAATCGCGCACCAAATGGCTTAACACCCTTCACGCTTGTTTGTGGACAAGAATGCCTACTTGAAAATATGCAGTTGGTGTCACCCACAAAGTCACCCACAGTTTTTCATGGATTGAGCCCCAGCAGCTGCGGTGTGCTCAGTTCAGTAGAGACCATGGTGCCCGCCGACTGGCTGCCCCCGCCTGGCACGCATCTTGTTGCAGGTGGCTTCGGCGCCCGAGATCCAGAAAATTACGGCGGGAATTTTTGCCTCCACAGTTTTTGGCAGGAGTACCTCAGAATTTGCCCAAACATCCAACGGACCTCTGATTCTCCGATCGTGTTGCTTTCAATGTGCGCTTTGGAAAAGAGGCTCGTTGAGGTGAAAGGTAGACTTTGGCCGTTGCTCTGGCAGTAGCCTGGCATACTGAATTGTTCTCGCACACATGCCAGAGAGCTTGGTTTTGCAAGCGGATGTTTGCTCGATTCAAAGTGCCATCATACGCATGTGTATCAACATTTTGAAGAGCAATGAGCTGGCCCGCGCTGCGCAGTTTGATGCGATACAGAAGCAGTTTGCCGATATTGTTGGCAAGTCGCAGCCCAAGATGGGGCGTCAGTGGAGGGCTGGGTCGGCCGCCAGTCGCCTGCCAGAGTGCACACACACACACACACGCCCTCAGTGGGCCTCTGGTTTGAGCGTAAGTTGCCAGTGTTCAACTATGACTGGTTTCCATTTTTGCGCAAGCTCGGCCACTGGCAGTAAACAAGGGTTCCAGGACTCTATTTTCACAACTCGAATACTTACTCCTTGTTTGTTTGGGGATGTCCTTCCGGGAAGCAGGCAAGAGAGTGAAGACTTTGAGCACGCTAGACTCCTACTTTGGTTGCTCTTTTTGCTTCTTGGCAAGGAATGAATGAGGGCTCCCCCAAATTAAACTTGACTGAGTTTGCGTGCGTGCGCATGTGTATGCGCACACTGATCAGAACTTCGATCCACAAAGTGAGTGTCCCACACATTTGCCTCATGCGCACGCCTTTTGCATTTCGTCAAACCGCGATTAAAGGTGCCACGCAGGATGGCATGTATCAAAGCAATCCCTCCCTCCTATTCATAAATGCACCCGCCTACCGATAAACATTGTTTTTTCCGATCCCCCAATGCCAAGTTTAGAGTAGGCCAATTAAAACAATACTAAACTCCCTGCCAAACTTCCTGAATATCCTTGGTTTTCGCTAGGGGTTAGTGGGGGAAGCTTTGGGGCAATGCAAACTCCGCCTGTAAGGCCAAGCTGAGCAAAAAGACTTGCTGAAGGTTCGGAAACTCAGAGACCACGAGGCTGCTTGGAGTGGGGACTTCATATAGGTGCTGTTTTAGACACAGCTTGGACTATTGCTGCCTGCTCTCAGCTTATTGGTTTTGCCCAGCGCCAAGTGCAGCCATTGGCAAGTGGGAGACAGTAAGACTGGCAACTTGGTCTCATTTGAACTACCTCATTTCTTGCTAAACTTTGGATGCCAAAGCTTGCCTGCTGACGAAACGGCGGCTATAGCGGTGCAAGGCCGCATCATGGTTCCGAAGCTTTCCAGCTTGGTAGAAATCGCTCTTCCCGAGGCATGGCAGACTTCCAGCTGAGAGGGGGAGAGAGAGAGAGGCGTTTCACCGTAGGCCAGCAAAATCAATAATGCGCACGTATGTCAAACTGGTAGAAAAACATGTAGCAGTAGCAGTCGCAGGCAACCAGCTGCGCTGGTGTGGGCAGCGGGCCGCACCCACCTTCCCACCCCACAGCATCACTTGCATCCCAGAAGGCACGCTTGAAAGAAGAGCAATTCTTCGTAGATCGTAGATGACGCTGGATCCGCCTTTTTCAACATCGCCAGATCACCTTCGTCGCCAGCACTCGGTAATCAACATAATTGTTGAATAAAACAAATGTTTAATCATATTAAACCACAAAATTTGTAAATTGGACTATGTTAATATGGTATGTATTTTAAGGTTTTAGAAAGTGTATTTAGAAAGTATATAATATGTCTTTTCGATGTATTTGAATTATAATATATATATATATGTATATATTATTATTATTATTATCATTATTATTATTATTAGTATTAGTATTATTATTATTATTATTATTATTATTATTATTATTATTATTATTATTATTATTATTATTTTTATTATTATTTTTATTATTATATATTAATCTTATTATTTTTATATTGGTATTATTCTTATATTATTATATATTAATATAAATATTATATTAATATAATTATAATTATTATAGGTATAAACAATTATTATTGCTATCATTTTTCTAATTATATATATGAATATATTTATAAAACTATATATATTTAAATATAAATTTTGTAATAATATATATATATATATATATATGTTTCTATAAACCGGTACGGCCTCGAGGTCGCATTTCCCGTGCACCGGCAAGCCGTTGTAGCGGTACTCCGGCCGAATCGTAGTGCTTGCGGCGAGCGGCTATGCTTGTCCCGGTTTTTCTCCGCGGCGCAAGCTCCCGCCTCTTCGCGCGGCCCGGAAGGCCCCGAAATTTTGCCGAAATTTCGGGGGGCTCTTAACAACTTTGCTTAGAGTTCCCGCGGCGTAGCCCGGCCAAATTTTCCCGAATTTTGGGTCGCTTCCGGCAACGCGGCTCTTAGGTTTCCGGCTGTTACCCGCAAATTTCTTCAGAATTTGGCGGCTGTCCGAAAAAAATACCGGGCCAAATTTCGAGGAAATTTGGGGACCTGTCCGAGTCGGAATTTCTCGAAAATTTCGTGCCGGGTGTCTCCGTATCTTTGCCCCCCTCTGTGTCTTCAGTCCGTTTCCGTGTGTCCGTATCTATCTATTTCGTAATCTCTGTCTTTCTCTGTCTATCTTTGTGACGCTCTGTGTATCCCAATCTGTTTCTTTTTGGTGTTTACGCCTCTCTGTCTCTATCTGTTTGTCTGTGTCTCTCTGTCTCTCGGGTTGTCTCGGTTTGTCTCTGTTTGTCTCTTCGTGTCCGTGTCTGTCGTTCGTCTCTATTTCTTTGCGTCTTTTTGTGTCTCTCTGTCTATTTCCGCGTGTCCGCGTCTATCTATTTGGTAATGTCTGTCTACATCTGTCTCTGTCTTTATCTTTCTGTCTGTCTACGCTTGTTTCTGCGGGTCGGTTCGCAAAGATGGCACACTTCCGCGTTGCCGCGTGCCGCATCTCCCCCTTTCAAGCTCCGTTTTCTTCTTTTCGTTCTGTCTTTCTTTTGGTTTCTGATTGTTTCTACCATTGTTCTTGCTTGCTTGCCTTCTTCCCCCTCTCTCTCTCTCTCTTTCTTTCTCTCTCTCTCTCTCTCTTTGTTTCTCTCTGTCTTTTTTTCTCTCTCTTTTTCTCTCTCTCTTTCTCTCTCTCTCTCTCTCTCTTTCTCTTTTCCTCTCTTTCTCTCTCTTTATCTCTCTCTTTCTCTCTCTCTTTCTCTCTTTCTTTATCTTTTTCTTTTTTTTCTCTCTCTCTCTTTCTCTTTTTTTTTTTTTTTTCTCTCTCTCTCTCTCTTTTTATCTTTCTCTGTTTCTCTCTCTCTTTCTCGCTCTTTCTCTCTCTCGTTTTCTCTCTCTTTCTCTCTGTGTCTTTGTCCCTTTCTCTCTCTGAGAGAGAGAGAGAGAGAGAGAGAAAGAGAAGAAAAACATATATATCTCTCTCTTTCTTTCTCTCTCTTTCTTTCTCTCTCTTTTTCTCTCTCTCTTTCTCTCTCTCCTTGGTGCCGCTTTATCGCCCACAGGATGATGGACAGCTTGCGTAGGTCCTGTTGGGGCATCGGCTGGTCTCTCCCGGGGTCGGAGGCACCTTTGAAGAGCCATTGCCTCCACCTCGGGTATCTCCGCCAGCACCAACTCCGGGTCTTTCTCTCTCTCTCTCTCTCTCTCTCTTTTTCCCTTTCTCTCTCTTTTTCTCTCTCTTTCTTTTATTCTCTTTTTCTCTATCTCTCTTCTTTCTTTCTTTCTTTCTCTCTCTCTTTCTTTCTCTTTCTCTTTCTCTTTCTCTTTCTCTCTTTCTTTCTCCTTTTCTCTTTCCTCTCTCTCTCTCTTTTTCTCTTTCTCTCTTTTTTTCTTGTTTTCTTTTTTTCTTTTTGTTTCCTTATTGTTTCTTTCCTTTTCTCTTTTTGTTTTTTTGCCATGTTTAGAGCTTGGCAGGCATTGGGTGAACATGTATCATCAAGTGTTATGGGTCTGCCATTTTGGATCAAGACTGAGCCAAATTGGCAGACACCTTTTTGGTTTTCGGTTATATTGTGACTGGAGTGGGACTCCGGTATGTCTGGCGCCGATGCAGGCCTTTTGGTGGCCCATTGTCAGGCGCGGATGTTGCACCCGGCGGCCCTCATGGACTTCGAATCCTACGTGCAAGGACTGCTGGCCCGTGGGGCACGGGACCAGGCCGTTCGGCTGTGGAGGACTGTTGCGGTGGTGGTGCACCTCCCCCCAACCGAGACCTCTGAATTTCGCATTCATTCCCTGGGGTCGTTGCGGGAGGTTCCCTGCATGGTGGAAGGGTGTGCTAGGTGCACAGAGATGCGTGGGGGGTTCCAGTTCCCGTGGCTCGGGACATGGACCAAACGCGCAGTCCTGGTTCAAGCGGAGGTTGGCCCGGAGGCAGCTTGGGACCTTTACTATGCGGGCCGGGACTACTTGGATGAGGATCAGCTTCGGGCCGTTGACTCGGGCATGCGAGTGCAGCAGCTGGTCCCCGAGCACGTGGCGCGTTTCATTGGCTACGTGGAGTTGGCCGGCCTCGAGGAGTGTGGCCTCGATCGGGAGGCCGTCTTCTGGGCGTGGAGGAGGTGGCAGGCAGGCCGGGTGTCTTGGCGAGAGCCGGCATATGAGCCGATCCCCTCCGGCGACTGGGAGAGTCGCGATGGGGCCACCGCCTGGGCCGGGAAGGCTCTGGGCCAGTGGCTGGCTGGTCTTGCAGCGGGAGAGCGTGTTTTCCCCCCCCCTTGCATGCGGTGTGGTGCCCTCACACGGCACGTCATCCGGGACAGGCCGATCTGCGAGGAATGCCTCAGCCATTTGGTCTCTCTGGGGGATCCTTAGCGCCATGGCAGCTGTACCGACCGGGATCTACGCTCGCCTGGCGGGGGACGCCGGGGGGCAGTGGGACCCGGAGTCGGCTTTGGGCGCGGTGGGCTCCCAGCACACCGCCAGGTGGAGGCGCGAGTACGGGCTGCAGAATGATGCGGACTTTGCGTTCGCCTTCCGCTCGTTTGAGGAGGCGCTGACTACTGGCGGCAGGGACCTGGCCAACTCGTGGGTGCGGGTGCGTAGCGCCCAGGAGTCCGAGCTGCTGCCGGCTGCGGCTGATGTGGTGGAGGGTGAGAGCCGGGGGACGGCTGTTCACCTTCCTTTTCGGCCTCTGGCCCCTCGGCCTTCGAGGGCTCCGGCGGTACGCCTTCGTGCAGTTCAGGACGAACCGGAGGCGATCACGATGCAGGTCCAGCGGCTCGGCGAGGCACTGCAGGACATGGGGGCGATGAAGCCGACAGGAGTCCTGACGGAGCAGCTGCGGCGCGAGTGGCGCAGCGGTTGGTGACGGAGGCGGAAAGGGCCACGGTGTTGAATGCCTTGCGCACATGGGGTGAGGTGATCACCTTCATGCAGGCGCGTTCTCGCCCGCTGCCGCCGGAGGTGGTCGACCTTGATGTTTTCCTCCACGAAGGAACAGCTGCCCCGGCCCGTGCTACCCAATCACTGCGCTGGCTCACCAAGCAGGCGAGGGTGGATCTGGGGTTAAGCATGCTCACGCCGCCTGCGGGACAGGCGCGCCGGGCAGGGCCCAGGGGACAGGCAGCCGTGGTGGAACCGGTGATGCTGCTGAAGATGGAGCAGCGGATGGAGGAGCTCTACACGCAGGGCGATGATCGCTGGCAAGCGTTGCTGGCGGCGTGGATGCTCTATGGAGGAGTTCTACGCCACAAGCACCTCACTCGGGCGGAGGTGCGGAAGGTAACCATGTCGACGGTCCATGCGCACTGCATCAAAGGGAAGCAGCGGCGCCTTCGCAAGGGCTTCGACTTCTGCGTGCCCGGACAGCTGTCAACCGGGTGGGACTGGTCGGCGGCCTGGCTCCATGACTTTGCCCTGGTGCCGGAGAAGCAGAAGGCAGACTGCGGGCTGGCGTTCCGTCGGGAGGGGATCCCGTGGTCGCTGTCCGATGTTTACCGGATGGTCCGGCACGAGTTTGCGGACTTGGTGGAGAACCCGGCGATGGTGTCGTCGTACTCGTTCAGGCGGGTTGGTACAACGGTGGGCCAACTGGTGGGGTTCAGCGCCCTCGACATGGCGGCACTGGGCGACTGGCAGACCAAAGGCGACGTCCCGGAGGATGCTCGCATGCCGTTGCACTACAGCGGGGCCAAGTACGCGGCGTCCTTGTTGGCCAAGCACAGGATGGTGGGAGCGGTTGCGGCTCTGACCCACCACGAGTCCTGGGAGTTGGTTCCGCCGGCGGAGGTTCAGGAGGCGGCCCAGGCTGGCCAGGCGGCGTCAGCCCAAGCCAAGGCGCGGGACGCCCAGGTGGTGTGGGCGGCCCCCCCACGCCCCAGCGAGAAGAAAGTCGATGTGAGGACGAACTGTTTTAACCCCAGAACCTCTGAGGCCCCCCCCCAAGGGGTGTGAAGTTTGGCTGGGACCTTAGGTTTTGGGGATAAGTGGAAGGGCGAGTGACAGTCCCCCGCAAGTGATGCTCCACGGCTTGACTCCACTGCACCTGCACTGTCATGGGGGTTTCCG